CGTGAGACGGGTTTAAATCTGTCGGTGCTACGGGACACCAGCGCAAAGAAAATCCCAGCGGGATCCACGTCGGGGCTGGTCCCACTCCAACCCCGCTCCCTGTGGGAGGCATCGGCCGCTGGAGATGCCTTGTGGAATGCCCACGGGATGGGCAGCAGGCAGCAGGCACAGGGTCATGCCCTGATGCCGTCGGCTAGGCCCCAGTTGCTTCCCGGCAGTGGCAGGAGCAGAATTCCTCCCCCCAGGGCCGAGCTGCCGGTATCCCGGCCGGACATCCCCAGTGCTGCAAGAGCCGGGGAGAGAAATAGGTCAGATGAATCATTTCCTCCGAGTGCCTATTTTAGGCCTCCATTTTAAGAGGCGGCGCGTCACACTCCGCGCTCCGGCGCCTGAACCGACCACATCTACACCACCAGGAACAGAAACCCGCCAGGGAGGGAGGAATCCCACCCCAAGCCCCCGGCTCTGCCCACTGGTCCACCCCCAGAAAGGAGCCAGAGAGCAATCTGGAGCAAAGCCCTGGGGAGAGGGGAAGCAGGGCAGGGGGTGGGAAAACGGGGACACATTTTTGCAGCTCCCCGCACTCCAGCTGATCCAAAACACCCTGTAGGAGGCCAGTGTGCAGTCCCACACACACCCACAGAGATTGGGAAGGCAAATCCGTGCCAGAACAGGGCTGGGACATGGAAGAAGAGAGAAGCAGGCTGGCACTGAGAAGGGGAGACTACAAACAGAAGTAGAGGCAAGGGAAGGGGCAGAGAACAAAACTGCCCCTGAAAATATCTTCAGTGTGGAATTTAACTCAGCAGTGCTGAGAGGGAGCAGGCAGGGAGCTTGGAGCAGGGAGCCTGGGGCACAGGGAGCACAGAGCAAGGAGCCTGAGGCACAGGGAGCATGGAGCCTGGGCTGCAGGTAGCCAGGATCCAGGGAGCTCTTCCCTTCCAGGGTCCCCAGAACACGGGGGCCAGCACAGAGAGCAAAGTTAAGCAGGGAAGCCGAGCCCCTCAGGCCCCACCACACACCCACATCCCCATCCCAGGATCACCGCGTGGGAATTCCAGCAGCCATGAGTCCTGCCTGGCGTCCGAGCCAGCCGTACTCACCCAAAATCCTCTGCCTCTTCTCTGCTGCGCTCAGGTTGAAGACGTTGGTCTGCTGGCCCGCGTCCGGCCGGTAGTAGGTCTCTATCTCGATGGAAAACTTCTCCACGAAGGGACATGTGTACCTGGAGGGGGACAGCATTGAGTCCGGAGGCACGGCCAGCCCTGCAGCCCACCCTGCCGCCCCCCCCTCTCGCCCCCACCTGGTGCGTGTGTAGGGATAAGCGTTCCAGGACTCCTCCTCCACCTGGAGCGCGGCTTTGGGGAGCAGCGCCCGGAACCAGCTGGGTATGTGGGAGCCGACGTGGTAGATCTTGTGTGTGTACTGCCCGCTGCCCCCGGGGCCGTCGCTGTAGGGCCGGTTGGCCAGGATCTCCACCCCGCTGCCCTCGCCGCTCGACTCCTCCCGACTCTTCTTCTGCAGATAGAGAAAACGGCTCAGCACAGCCGCCCTGGACCCTGAGACCCTCGTGGGCCCTCGGGGTCCCCGTACGCTCCTGCCCCCACCAGCCCACCTGCTCCCAGGACCCCCTCCTTGGCTCGGCAGCCCCAAACCCACCCGAACCTCACTGACACCCCTGCACCCTGCCAATCCCTTGGGAGCATCCTCGGGCCCCACTGTGCCCCTCCAGGCTTCATGCTCAGCCCTATAGCCTGCCAGTTCCCCATGCTCAGCCCAACAGCCCCCCTGCACCCCCAGTTCCCCAGGCTCAACTTCTCAGCCCCTGCACCCTCCAGCTCCCCATGCTCAGTCTCAAAGCCCCCTGTGCACCCCCAGGTTCAGCCCCCGCACCCTTCATGCTCCCACACAGCCCCCTGCATCCCCCAGACTACCACGTCCAGCCTCTCCCAGCCCCCTGCACACCCTCAGTCTCAGCCTCCAGCTCCCCAGGCTCAGCCCCACCGATTCCGGATCCCCCCAGTTCCCCACACTCAAGTCTCTCAGCCCCTTGCCCACCCATGCTCAGTCCCAGAGCCCCCCTCACCCTCACAGCCCCCCATGCTCAGCCCCACAGCCCCCCATGCTCAGCCCCCTGCACTTCGTGCAGCCCCCCCAGTCTCCGCCCCCAGCCCCCGCCCCGCAGCGCCCCGTGCTCAGCCCCGCAGCCCACCTGGATCATGTAGAGCTGTGCCACCTGGTACTCCTCCAGGCTCATGGGCAGCAGGATGTGGTACTCCTTGATCAGCATGGCGGCGGCGGCGGCGGGGGGCGGCGGGGGCAGCGCCTGAGGGGGCTCCCGTTACACAGGGCCGGTTCGGCACCGCTTCGGAACCGCTCGGGCCGGTTCGGAACCACTTCGGAACCGCTCGGCACCGCTTCGGAACCGCTCGGGCCGGTTCGGAACCACTTCGGAACCGCTCGGCAC